CAGTGCTGAGACTGTCTAAGCTTTTCACTTGAGTATCAGTCAAATATCCCGTAGCTACAACCCCAAGAAAGTAAGAATCCTGTGTGCTGAAAGAGAATTGCTAATAGATATAGTCCATGATTCACTGGCCCCTTTCCTTTTCGTTAACAGATTCTGTAATATTTGCTAAGACACACTATAGTGTTTTCCGGCTGGGAAAGATTTTTTTTAAAAATCCTTAAACCCGTCCTAAAAGATATTGTTTGGACACACTCTTAATCTGTACAGGTTTTTTTTTTTTTGTTTCAATTTATTTGCTTTTCTTGGAGTTCTTTAATCTCTGCTCCCCATAGAGTTCTTTGAGGGGCTTTTCTCCAACAGCCTGAGCATGCTGAGGACGTGGATGGGAGAGGGAAAAAAAGAAATCAGGTAGAACCTCCTTGGGGATTTTATCCCTCCCTTACAGATCTTGACCTGAAAAAGGCAGCGAGAGGTTTTGTGCCAATTCTCTGTGAGTCTTCAGAGCTGGAGTTACTGCCTTTCCCCATCTCTAGCAGCAACCAGAAGCTTTTTTCTCAGCGTCGGCGTTGTGCGGATGCCCTAGGCTGCTCCAGGGGTGAGGGCGGTGTTGAATCTCCGCACGGGGTGTCGTTGTGCTGGGGTGTGTACCGGCTGGGTGCCAGGTGATGATGGCAGAGCTCAGCAATTATCTTACCCTGACTTTGAGTAGGTTTTAATTTTCTGCGCAAAGAAGGGAAGCGATAGGTGTTATTCTGTGCTTTATTTTTCCTCTCTCAGCTCTGTAGCCGTTCAGGTCTTTATGGATAGGTGCGTGCTGTTCATGTGTGGCACGGAGCCTTGCTCCTTTTCTGGTAGATAAACAGCTTATACAGCCAGTGAAGGTTTTCCTCCGGGTAGAATTCAACTTTCCTCTCATTTTTCACTGGAAATGTAGCAGGTTCTGTTCTTTTATGCTGCTCGGGTGCATATGGGAAAGCTGACAGGGAAGACGGTGGCTCCAGATTTATTACAGAGCAACTTGTGGAGCAGCACAAGCATCTGGTCCCTGCAGACCGCCTGCTCCAAACCCATCAGTTGGTAAAGCATCTCAGTCAGCAGCCTTAATATCCTGCCTAGCTTATAAACTGCAGGTTTCACTGAGAAAGGTCTTGAAGCCTCTAAGGGAATTTTCTCTTCAGGAATTTGTCTCGGTGGTTTTTGATGTGCTTCTGAAAGAGTACATGGGCCAGGACAAGTGTCCCAGCCCATCTTTGGTTCTACTGACATGAAGTCTTGGAGGCATTTCAGTGAAACAAGAGGTTGAGCGTTACAGGATACCCTCTGCCTTCCACTGAATTTCTCTTTTACACCTATGTGTGTGCACTTGCACGCCCTGTGGGCTCGTGGACAACCATGGTGCTACTGCTTTATGTCTTTTTGCTTGCATGCTGCTTTAAAAATGCTGAGATCTCAGTAAGAGCATTTCACAATAAGAACGTTCAAGTCTTGTGTTATCAATAAGGGATCATTTTCAGAAGAATATTTATCTGAATGTGAAGTGCTTGTTTTCTGCTCTTAGGATCTCTGGCCTATTTATCATTAGCTTTCAAATGCTTCTCTGTGATCCTGTATCCTATTACACGTCGTCTTGGGAAGCAGCAAAATTCCTACACACTGTAATCTGTGTCACCAACAGCCCCTTTCTACAGTATAACTAATAGAGAAGCTGGTGGCAGATGCGAGACTCATTCTGAATTCGTAATGTTGGTATTTGTAAACACAAAAACAAGTGCTGCAAAGTCAGGTTGGAGCTCGTGAAGTCCTGTGCTTGGACCGTACAGTGAACACAGATCTGAATGTTGAGATTGTCTGTCTTTGCTCTTTTTCCCCCCTATGTATATCTACATTTATCTTTATCAGTCAAAGCTCCTTTGCCAAATCTTTTAGTATGAAGTATTTCTTTTAGTTGTCATCTGTTTCAGTACTTGCAGCGTAGCAGACAAGAAAACTGAAATAAAGAATATTTGTTCCTGGCTTACTCTTGGATCATTGCTCATTGCCTGCTGTACTAGTTGATAAGTGATATCTCCATGTATCTCCATGCAGTGATATGTCATTAGGAGAATCACTTTATCATGACATCAGAAAATTCCTGAATTATGCTTTCTAAGACTGGCTTTTTCTGTGCAATAGAATTTTTTCCGTCTCTTGGTATTACAGTATGTGATGATAGATGAGTTTGTTGTGTCTATAAACAGAGTAATGCTTGGAGTGCTCACTTTTAGTACTCTGTATTTAACTCTGTATTTGTGAGGAAACAATATGCTGCTTTGCATCCAAGTGGCTTGTATTCCTTAGGGACGCAATTAATTTACATTCCAAAAAACAAAGGCTCCTGGAACATCTCCAGATCTTGCAGTAACAACCTCTGCAATAGTCTAACCAAATTTTCCTGCACTTTGGAAGCTTAAAAGAAAAAATTGGAAATCAGTCATGTATGAATACACACATTTTTCTTAAGAGCAGTGTTTGAGAATTCACAGCTCATGGCCTTGTTAAGTCAAAAGCACTTACATTAATGAAAGTATTAAAGGGACATAAAAAATTTCTAACCATGATTTAGGCCCAAGAGTAGATAAAAATTTAAAAACCATCAATCATGATACAAAAGAAAGCAGAATTTTTCATTAAATTCCTATTGAGAAGAAGAAAGATGGCATGTTTTTTTTTTATTATAAAAAAGATGAGCTTTCTGTTTGATCCAGAAGTTGGGCTAAGGTGAAATAATCACTCTCAAAAGTAATTTTTGTTTTTTACTGGAAAGACTGAGGTGTGTCTGTATTTTTAATGGTAAATGGGATGACTCAGGTAAGTATAAGTTTGTAAAATTGACATTTGCCCCTAATAAAATTATGGAAATGTGATATGGAATATGGTCAACAGTGACTCAGACAAGACATTATTACTAATGCAAATGATGCTTATGGGGAATATGTCTTATCAAATGTGTTTATTATTAATTTTTATTATAAAACAGACGTACCTATTTTAATGTCTTCTGTACAACGTTGTTACAGAAAAATCGCCTTAAGCCAAATTGACTTATCCTGTGTTAAGTCAAATAAAAACTGATCATCTGGTAGATCTAGGAAGGTGGTTGTAAGTGAGAAAATCTCTTGCTTTGGAGAAGTTTCCGAAGAGATACTGTGCTTCATAGTGTTAGGCACAAGAAGCATCATCTCTTTATTTTTTAGTTGAGATCGAGAAATGAGCTGGACATATTCTATAAACACCAACATGTGGAAGGGATTTCCAGTGACTGTAGGTCTTTCATCTAAGGACCATATGAGATCCACTGGCTGTTGGCTGAAAGTTAAAAACAAATCAGTTCAGAAACAGCATGTTTTAGAAGAGAGAGTAACTGTCCGTTGGAACAACTGCCCTGTATCAATTGAAAATATGAAATCTAGCTCTTTTAGGCTATGGTTTTACCAGATATTCTGGGATTGATATGAAGATTATGAATGCAAGAGGTTAGTGCCAATGGTTGCAGTAGCCCCTTCTCGCCTCAAGACTCTCATAGTACGTAGAATAGAAGAATAACTTCTCCTTTAGCTTTTTGCAGTCATTATATCTTTGCAAAGGAACTTTGATCTGTTGAAATTAGAAAGGGACTAAATGTTATTAAACTAGAAATGGTTCGCTATTTTCCCATTCTGTGTTTCGGGACCTTTAGCAATACTTTGCAAACTTACATTTTATACCCCTTCTGCATTAAACAGAAATGAAAATCGCGGCTTTACTTCAATAGTAACATGACCATTTGCCTCAAAGCTTAGTCAGGGTTACCGGAGTCTCCCTCTGTTTGCTAATCTTCGATGGTAGTCACCACATTGACCCAATGTCCCTGTCTCTCACACTGTCTGCAGAGCAAGCTGCCAGATTAATTCCATACAACGAGAAATTAATCAGTACTATTGATCGGCAGGCTTCTTTATACGAGACTTCCAGAGACTTCTTAATCTCACGCTCTTTTCTATTATTTATCCTAGGAAAACTTGAAAAGGTTTTGTATGTTTCTCAGCGCAAGTAGCTACCTTGTATTTTAGGGTTTTAAAGACGTTGGTGTGTTTAGGAGGATGTGCAAATATTAAACACACAGTTTATAAACCTAACAAGACCTACACATTTTCACTTTTCTTTCTTCAGGTGTATTTGTGTTACTGTTTTGATAGGGAAAGCTATTTAAGGTAAGGAATTAATTTAAGGTCTTATTTAATTGATCTGCTACGAAGACATCTCTGTGTTCACAGGACAGTTTTTCACTCAGCTTTTCTTTACATTCCATAAGGTTTCGTAACACTTTCTTTTTGCTCCAATCTCAAACTCTTTGGATTTTCTAGTATGTAAGCCCTCCGGGGCAGGTTACTCGTTGTATGTCTGTACGGCACAGAAACTAAACCCTAGGTGTGTTTGGATCCGCATCGGTAAGTGGTCATCTGCACCAAGACTTTTGAGGACTTGTAGGTTTTCTGGATGTGAGCAAAATACAGTGTTCTCTATTGTGAATTGTACGTCTTTGCATGTCTTCAAGCTCCTTCAGCTCTGAGCATCCATTCTGTGCTCCTGCAGGGATTGAGCGTAGCAGCGGGCGGATAGTCTGGGCACCAAGTCTGGAGGGTCATCCACAAACAGGACATAGTAGTGCCATCTGCAATTCTGGAAACCAAGTGTGGAAACTGTTAGGAATGAGAACAGTGTAACAGGATAGTCCCTTCCTCTGCATCACCGTTTCAGCTGCAGTGAAAGCAGTAGATGGGTTGAAAAAGGCTACCCCAAATTCAAGATAAAACTCCCACCGGAAGCTTTATGAAATAACTGGATGAATGGATCTTAAGATGAAGTGGATCTTAAGATGAAGCAGATCTTAAGATCCATCCATTCAGTGATTTTATGAAGCGCGCGCTGGCCCAGTGTCATATTCCCAGCTGATTATTTTTCCTCTTTTTTTTTTAATTCAGGTTCTCTCAATTTGCCCAAAGGACATGAGAGCAGATATTTGCGTGCACCTAAACCGGAAAGTTTTTAACGAGCATCCTGCCTTCCGGCTGGCTAGTGACGGCTGCCTGCGAGCCCTGGCTGTGGAGTTTCAGACAATCCACTGCGCCCCGGGGGACCTCATCTATCACGCTGGGGAAAGCGTTGATGCTCTTTGCTTTGTGGTCTCGGGATCCCTAGAAGTCATCCAGGACGACGAGGTGGTGGCTATTTTAGGTAACTGTGATGTCCATTGAAATGTTTGTGGTTTTGCCTATGTTTACCTTCTGCTTAGCTTTTAATATTAACTAGGCTTGCCTAGCATCAGCTGGGACTACGGGAGACTAGTGGTTGACGTAAAGTAGAGATGTTCATGTCTCCAGAGATACTGCTCAAGAAGCAAACCCTTCATCTTTTTTACGATTGGGAATGCTCTTTCTGGCCAGAATGGCTCACTGGTCACAGCGTCTCTGAGCTGAAGAGAATGGCATCTGTGTGCTTGACATCTTTTAAATAGCCTGGTAAAAGAAATGGACATTATTTATATTAGTCTCTCGAGGATTTCCACATCAGCCTTCACACTGGGATTTTCATTTGTCTGTATTCTTGACCAGAATAACATCTGCAAGCAGTCTGTACAAGGAAGCAAAATTGTGGCTTGCAGTGAACTGGCTTTACAGAAAATAAATAGTCTGATGTGACTATGCAAAGAGATAGGGATGCACCAGCTACCCAGCCACATACGTGAGAAGTCTCAGTAATGGGGGATCCCCAGGTTAATCACCTTTTCACCCCCCTGTCGTGTCTGGTTTGGTTGGGTGCAGTTGGTGGGAAGGAACCTAATGAAGACTCCTCACTTGCTTGTGTGGGGTTGGGAGAGGTTTAGCAGATGGTGGTACTGAGTTGTTGAGGGAGGAGTCATGCTCAGAGGCAGAACAATGTAGAGGAAGAACTGGTGGCTCTGCATGAAAACCATCCAGACCCTGTCTTGCCTGTTTAAAATACATCCATTTATTGTAGAACTGGTCTCCTTTTCCATGTTAACTATTTGCCTTCTCCTGAACTGGATCTGTGGCTCCCTGAGGGCAAATCTAGTGGGTGGCCTTGTCCTAGGGGACCTCTCACACCCCACTGAAGCTTTGTACTGCTTCTTCCCTGCAAGGGTGGGTCAAGAGGGCACCATGGGTCCCCCTTGTACCTCATGGGGATGATCACTGTGGGAGATGAGGGTTAAACTTAGGAATTGCAGTGCCATGTGGGAAAAGGGCAGAGCTGGGGAGTCATCTAGATGTCCCTACTCATTGCACTAGTTGAGGATGTCCCTACTCATTGCAGGAGAGGAGGGACTAGATGGCCTTTAAAGATCCCTTCCACCCAAAACTATTCTCTGATTCTGTGATTCTATGACTGCGTGGGGACGGCTCCTCGAGGGCATAACCCAGGTCTTCCCAGCTGGAGAGTATGAACTTGGGAAAAGGCACATCACCGCTCTTTTGTTATACCTACGGCAACTTTCTGTATTCTAGTATGTAATAAGGTTTTTAAAAATAGAGATTTAGTGTAAGAATGAATCTGCTTCTGTATTCAGATGTGAAGTCATTATGGTGAAAGCTCCTAAATCTGCAATTTCCATGGTAAAATATTCCTTGTACTTCAGCTCACTGAACCATTTCATTTTTATTATTAATCTTAGGGACGATATCTTATGTTTGCTTACAGCTTTTTTAAAAAGAAAAGCTTTAGGTGTAAGTACCAGCATTTACACAAATAAATGGTTTTCTGGGTATTATAATTAAAGCAAACAATAAATATGTAATTTAGTGAGCTAGAAGCTATCCCTAAATGGATTACATGCAAAACTTTATTGCATTTATTAATTAATATTGTGTGTTGTTGGTTGGGTTTTTTTTTTTTTGTAGCTTGTAGATATGGTAAGTCCTGTATTTCTATTATTCTCTATTTGGCTGGAGAGGCCTTTAACCATATCTAGTTAAAGTGAATTACCTTTAATTACCGAAAGTGCCTTCGATTCTGCCATGGCTGCTGACAGGCAATCCAGTGACTCAAAGCTGTGTTCATTGGGTACTACAGGGGCTGGCAGAATGTGTAAATGTAACTTAAAGCAAGATAAACTGCTTCCTCCAGTCATAGAGCACACTGAAGAGTTTTTTTCCTGCTCTGACAGATTATTTAACAGAATAGTGAACTGAGTAATTATGAGATGTTGCATCCTAAAAATTCACTCGTGGGAGCAAATCTCTCCCAGATGTAGTTGCAGAGACATTTATCGTGGCAGCTGTGGCACCTGGAATAGTGATTACAGATCAGACAGTGAGGAACATAATTTTTATCGATCTGTTCTGCCTCGAGAAGTTCGAGCACAAGGAAAGTGAATCTGCCTAAGGGGTAGAGCAGGTTTAAAAGCCTCTGCCTAATGTGAAAACCTTTGTGGTCTGCTTTGAATACTCCAAGCATCTGCCCTCACACTGGGTTTCCCGGGGAAAGTCAACTTATGGGGTTGTACGGTCAGTCTGTCCATCTTCCCCATCCCCCAGCAGCCACCTGCAGTGGAAATGCGATAAGGATCCTTTGGAAACATGTCCTCATTTATTTCCTTTGTGACAGCAGGAGCCGTCCATTTCCTAAGTTTGCTTTGGAACCGGTACTTTGCAGTTACTGCGTAGTGTTAATTAATACCGTAGTGTTATCTGCCTTGTTTAGAGAGAGAGAGAGAAAAGGTGTGATTTTTTATTATTTTTTTTTTAACAATGCTCATCTGCAGATGAAAGTTTTGATGTATTCTTAAAAGTGGAATATCCTAGAATAGTGAATCAGGTAGGGACAACAAAATGGATTAAGAACACGCATCTTCTATCCCTTACACTCGTTGTCTGAAGTGCGGGGCTTTGTCCTCCCTCGGGTCCCAGCATGAGTCACTCTGTGATGTTGCTGCTTTTGCCCCTTCTCCACCTCCCCTTATCAGGTTCCCTTCCCTCACAGCCAGGTGAGCACATCCAGACTCCCTGCCTGCCGAAACAGTGGCCTCAGGAGACTCGGTGGCCTCAGAAGACTTGGCGTCCCGTCCAGGTGCTTTCACTGAATTTCACTGAATTTTTAGAGTTGGAAGGGGCCATAGAGATCTAGTCCAACTCCCCTGCTGAAGCAGGATTGCCTAGAGCTTGTCAGAGCATGTTACTCAGGACTAGAGCATGTTACTCAGGACTTACTTTCTGCAGGCTGCACCGTGGAGACAACCATCTTTTTGTTCAACAGCAATTTTCCCAGCTCAACAGCCCCAGCTTTGGCATTTCTTGTGCTTGAAAGCAGGTGAAACCCAGTGATTGCCAGGGCAACTTGCCTCCCCTTTGACGTTCTGTTCTCCTATGGTCTGGTTTTGCTCTCATTTGTGGGTAATTAAATGCCCAGCTGCTGCAGTAATCAACATTACAGAAATTGGTACAGTAAGAGAATGAATCCAATTGTAGATCTGCAGACCCATTGATGAAGATACCCAAATGCCCCATCACGTTCCCCTCGTTGTTATCTCCCTTTCTTGAGGATGGTCTTGCACCTTTTGCAGGTACTGCTGGCTGCTGGAGCAGAGGGCACACCATATACAGTGGTGTGGTGGAATGCTGCTTCACTGGAGAAAACAAGGTCCAGTCATTTTATCCAGTTGCCAGGGTAATGGAGAAGGGCAAACAGTCTTGTCTCTAATTATCAAACTTTCCTAGCAAGTGAGGTGACCCTGAGAAAGCACATCAGTAATTTTCCAGCGTCTCAAGAAGGAGTAAACAATTTAACTGCCACTGCTCTGCAGGAGGAGGTGTTAGCAGCGGAGAAGTCTTGGGAAGGACTGGGGGTTTGAAGCCCCCCAGGCTAATGAAACAAGGCATTTGCCTGCAGAGGACACCTAGCAATTCACCCTGCTTCAATTAACCTGCATTTGCTTCTGGTGAGGAGTTCCATATAAGTGGTGATGCCAACCAAGTGTCTCTGGAAGCTGCTTTCCAGCTCCCACTGTTTGCACAGCTGACTGCCTTAAGTTGTGCAGTAACTTAAACTGGGCAGATTGATTAACAAGGTTTCAAGAAGTCGTTTCGCCAGCAGGAAAAATAATGACCCACCACGGACAAATGTTGATTGGAGGAATTGATCAAAAATATTGCTCAAACTGCATAGCGATAAAAATGTATTGAGCAGTGAAATCCTAGTAGGGGCTGCTACTGAATGAATTCAATTTTGATAGCCAAGCCAGAATGGATATAGATTTAATAGCTCATATTTCACCCACACTTAGGGTCCTGATCCCATACGTATTCCATGAAGTTGTTACTTGCCTTTACGTGTTGCATATTAATTCTCATCATGGTCTCCGTATAGTCCCAGAGCAACCTGTTGTTTATTGGTTTTATTGTTTTTAGGCAAGCCAGAGTTTCACTTACTAAAGGTCTGCTTCATGAATTATCTCCAGATGTTTGGTCTGGGAAGGGGATGTTATGCACTATCAGAGGAGTTAAGGAAAGCAAGAGCTCAGGTGGCATGTGTTCTTCAATCTGGTACGGCAGCTGAAAATAGGGATGAGTCTTTTTCTGCTTCTAATCTTACATGTGTTTGGAGGTCGAAAGTCTCCGACCAAATGACACCGAGGAAAGTTCTTTAGAGCCTGAGCAAGTAGCAGCTCCCATGTAGGTGAGCAGGAGACCCAGGCACTCCGTAACTCCCATCCATGTCCGTTAGCAATTGGGTGTTTGGGATCCACGCGTCAACACTTTGAATTTCATTGGTGTCACACAGCCGGTGTGCAGGACAAGACTGTATGACATGAAGAACCATAGAACCATAGAATCGTTTAGGTTGGAAGGGACCTTTAAGATCATCAGTCTAATTCCATCTCATCGTATGAGTAGCTAATTCAATTAGTTGAGTTGCAGCTTGGGTTTCTCCTCAAGTGGGATGAAGGTAGCAGAATTTGCCCCTATGTCAAATAAACTCTTGATATTTTATACTGAACTTTTTTTTTAATTTATTTTCCATGTGAAGTAAACCAAGGCAGACTAATGGTGAGGGTTTCTCCAGGTTGGTAACATCCACATGGGAGCAACTTAGGGAACAGTGTCCTGTGTCCTGTTTCATCTATAGGAAAAGTCTCTCTTGTTCCAATGAGTTAAAGCTCTAAATTAATCAGGTGGTAAATATTCATAAAGGAAAGGGTTGGGTTTTTTTCAGCTAGCAGG